CAAAACACATGCACACACACACACATACTCTCTCTCTCTCTCTCTCACTCTCTCTCTCTCTCTCGCGCGCGCGCGTACCGCACTGAGAGACAGACACACACACACACAGAGAGAGAGAGAGAGAGAGAGAGAGAGAGAGAGAGAGAGAGAGTTTTGGGGTAACTAGGGCGCAGTCACGTTTTGAGTTTCAAATCCACTTCAGGCATCCTTCGAACACAAACACATCCCCGCCCAACCCTAAAGCTGGGTTCTATACATTCACGATTTTCCTCGCTTTGGAGCAACATTCGCGAAACCGTGACTGAAACGCATTTAAGACTGAAAACCTTAACTGTGCCCTTGTTTTCCCTTTTTCTTTTTTTAATCAATCAATCAATCAATCAATCAATTTTTATTTCTTTATTTTGTTTTTCTTTTCCGCATTTTGATGATTTTTTTTTTTAAATATAAAAAAGACAAAAATAAAAAATAAAAAATATGAGGGTCTAGAGCACGAAAAGCTCTACATACCGATATATATATACAGTTTGTCACAGCCCCTCGTTTGTTGTCCTCTTCTCCCTCTCTGCCTACGGTTTACCGGGCAGTTCTATTTGACGATATATATATATTTTTTATGTTTTTTTTTTAGGGGGTTTCGTCACTTTGTACAGGACCGTCCGTACGTCCGTACAGCGGTATGAAAGAACCCCCGTACGACGTACGGAGAGTTACACAGGGCCTTGCCACACCACGCTCGAAAAAAAAAACATTTTTTTTTCGACAGAAAGGCTTCGCCACACACGTAACCGAATACCTGTCGAAAATATTTCCATAGCTGTCCGAGAATGCTTTTCGATGGTCGTCCTTTCCATTTCAATTCTGCCCGCTGCAGCAGCGGGCCGAACTTCAACAGGTCTCCTCGAGGAGGCTGATGAAAGGCAGGCGGTTTTCGACCTCTGTCAGTGAGGCTGCACTGACTTTCTCACTTCATTGTTTGCACTTCAGTCCAAACTTGCAATAGGACGCCGACGTATCAAGGGACAACTTAGATGTATTCAGACTGCCTAACGCAAAAGGTGGAGACATTTCTTGCATCCCTCCAGCAGACGTTCCCTGGCAGCTGTCTTCGCCACACAGCACTGTCAAAGCAAAGGCCACCCCGGAAAGAGAGCTTGAATAAAAAGAAAAGAAAAGAAAAGAAAAGAAAAGAAAAGAAAAGAAAAAAGAGAGATTGAAAAAAAAAAAGAAAAAAAAAAGAGAGAGCTTGACACCCTTTGCCTTCGACAGCGCTGTATGGTGAAGGCGTCCCACACCGTCGAATGGGGAGCTTTCGAAAATTGTCTAACACCTGTGGACAAAAACTCCTGGGCCGTGGTCCCACTAGCAAAGGGGATTGGATAGAAATCCTGAATCTGGCCATGTTTAATGCAGAGATACAAAAAAGCAGTTCGATCTCTATATCCTGCTCCTGTCCTCAAACGCATCCAGATTCAGGCATTCATGGGACTATGGCCCTGATTCTAGGGTGGTGTGGGGAGGCCCTCACAGCCACAGTTTCCCCAGAAAAAAAAACAAGAATAAATAAAAATCCATAGTCTCAGCCACAGTTTCCCCAGAAAAAAACAAGAATAAATAAAAATCCATAGCCAAGATGACGCCAAAGGACGATAAAAACAAGATTGGCTTGCAATAACCCATGTTGTATGCCTCGTGGAAAAACTGAGGGCCTCGCCAGGCCACACTCAGGCCCAGGCCAAAAAGGTGAAAAGACCCCAGCCAAAGATTCAGGGTCTGAGCGAGGTACAGTTGACAAAAGTCAACTGTCTGCACCCAACAGTCAAAGTCCAAAGTGGACCCAGCCCAGGCCGCCGGTCAGACGCACACACTTGTTTGTATGCAGGTACCCGGACAGCATCAGGACCAAGGGGAAATCTGCAACTGTACATCATCCAGGCCCTGGGCTGGGAGTTCTGTACGACTGTGGGAAGGGGACCGGAGGCCAGACAGCCTCGAGAAACACTACAAAAGGACAGGACTCGAGGTAGTCAGCATTCAGTCTTGCTATGCTGCTTGGACGCTGGCATTGATGCTGGCACGACGCTGGCGGGACGCTGGCGAGACGCTGGCTGTGCGCAGGCACTTGGGACGACGACACGGGACTGTGGCAGCATGCTGGTGCTTTCTGCTTTGTGTGCCAGGCATTGCTGATGTGGTGCTGCCACCTATCTGTCGTGCTGATGTGGCGCATGCCACTCGTCTACACTGCTGATGTGGCACATGTCAATGGTCTTCATTGCTGATGTGGCACTGCCACCTGTTTACACTGCTGATGTGGCGCCTGCCACTGCTCTACATTGCTGATGTGGTGCATTCCACTTGTCTACATTGCTGATGTGGCATTGCCACCTGTCTTCATTGATGATGTGGCGCATGCCACCTGTCTCTATAGCTGACGTGGCATTGGCCACACTGTCTACATGAGGTGACTGGTTGTGAGAAGGAGGGAGATCGGAATCTGTGGATAATTGGGATCTCATACTCACGTTGACGTCATTACCATATTCTGCTGTTGTCTTCATAGTCTTCACGAGTTAAGAGTGCCACGTGGCACTTCTGTGTGATCAGGACTTATCGGACTTATCGGGTTACTATTGTTGATTGATGATGTGGAGGGAGGATAAGCCCGGAGAAGGAGTGGGAGTGGTTGGGCTATTATTGTGTGGTCTTTGATTATCTCTTCCACTTTCTCCCTTGTAAAAAAAAAAAAAAAAAAAAAAAAAAACTCTCTTCGTCTATTGGTAACAAGATACTGTTCCAGATATCTTTTTTTTTTTCACACAACACACTCACCCCTTCTATTCTGGGGGGTACCAATCCGGTTACTTATTACCGGCAAGCATAGAGAGTCAACAGGAAAAAATATGACATCAGATGAGAAAGAGAAGGGAGGCCTACCTGCCCGGCCGGAGACACCACTGGCAGGGGACTGCAACTAACTACCACACCTACGAGCACCAGGCTCGTGACAGATACTGTTGCAGATATCACTTCACGTTAACTGAAGACTTTGTGCAGACACTGAGACTACTTGTACTTGACGACTGATGAGTATCTTCCAGACTGGGTTCATTACAGGGGGAAGAAAAAGAAGAAGAGTACAAAGAATGGCAAAATATAAATTCCTCCTTTGAGGGCATAGGGCCTCGAGGCACTAGTTTCCAAATGACATTGTGAAATGAGACTGAATCCACCGCTATAAACATGGAAAGATAAATATTAAATTCCCATCTCTTTTGTCTTTTGTGCATGGGGAGAGTAGTGCAGCGAGGCCATACTCTCACCGGATGCAAATATTTCCCAAAATAGCAGAATTTGTGATAGGATGGGGTCACACTGTGAGGGCCAGGTAGGCTGAGGTAGCAAATGATGCAAATGGGTATGCATCTCTCTCCAGCCCGCCTAGCCGTGGGGGTAAGCAATTTGCGGGCACCTCAAGAGGTGCGCGCAAATGCATTTTCTTCCTTCGCAAGAGTTTACGGGGAAAACGGAAATCCCTCTGCGTGCGTGACTTGCCGAAGAGCACAAATTCTGACACGGAGAACTTCAAAGCTGCGACCGTGTCCCATACGCCGCCGGTGGTTATGTGTGACCAACCGCAAACGCAAACATCACAAAAGCCGTAGCGAATGCCACAATGTTTTGTGATATTTGCGACCAGTGTGAGTAATATGCCCTTGTGACATTAAATTTTGCGTCCAGTGTGAGTATATGCCCGGAGTCCTTTCCCTTCTTTCCCTTTTGAAATAACAGCGGACGGGGCATGTTTTGAAACCCTAAAGGCAAAAAATACTTGCGCCACCAGAGAAACTACACGCTAAGTTAAACTTGAACTCGAAATTAGCAATTTCGGTCCCAAAGTATCCGTTGGGCTTTTTTTTTTTTTTCCCCCTCTGACACCTCGATGGTCGACCCCTGTAAATAAATATGACACCCCTTTTTGACACTACGGCCATCGGTACTTCCGTTGCCTTTTCGAACTCGGCGCGGTTTTCTTTGCCTAGCAGTGTTTTTTTTGCCCATTCTATACTCAAAGGTGACATGAACGTACTTACCTCTTCCCTTTTAAAAAATAATAATAATAATAATAAACTCTTCCCTTTCTATCAGCACCAGAAATCTGCGAGTGAGTTTTTTTTTTGTTGTGAAAATGAAGTTCCCGATTTTCGGAACAGAAATGTGAAAACACTCCGAGGACAAATCCTCGGCCTCCGAGGATTTCCCAGCCAAATCGTCCTCGGGTTCAAGGGACCTCGCGAGGTCCTTTGGAGCCCGAGGATCCGCGATTATCGGGGTGTCGGCGGCGCGTCACGAAGGGGCAACGGAGGTCAAAAGTGGTCCAGAGGTGGTCCGGAAGGCGGAAGACGGACATCCCGAGGCGTGGGCGTCCAAAAGGTCAAGTAACGGCCTCATCGTTTTACCGTTGGCGGTGATCGTCGCGGGACGGCCCTGTCGGTTCGTCGGGTGTCCCGGCGGAGGTGCACCGGCGAGCATCGGACGTCTTTGGCCGGCTCCTGCAGTGGTCGTGCCGTTCCCACGTGCTCCACAACGGTCGAAAAATACGTATTTTGTAGGCGCCCTACTGCAGCCACCATGGAGATTGCATCAATTTCATTCGTTGGCGTCTTCCCTCTCGCACCATTTGTCTCCGTTCGCCGCGCTTGCCCCCGTGCAAGCGCATCTTCTGTTTCTGCTGCCCTGTAGTTCATGGCAGACCTGTACCGCAGGCTCCCTTTGCTGCTGCTCGCCGTTTTGCTGCTGCTCGCCGTTTTGCTGCTGCTTGCCGTTGTCGTCTTCCATATTTGCTGCCTTGTGCGCTTTCCAGGGATTCGTTTGGGCGTCGTCCGTCCACTCTGCCACCTGCTGTCGTCGTTCTACACGGAACTGATCGCCCAGTCCGCGTTGTCACTGGAGGCGGTGCGTGGGTGGTGCCCGAAGCTGGGTTCACGATAACGGTGCGCGTCGCCTCCTCGGCACTTCCGGACCTCAATCCAAAGTTGAGATCCACCAGTCCTGCGTCATAACCAGCCGGGGCACGCCCCTCTAGCAGATCAGTGTACGTCGTCGTCGATGCCCGCCTGTGCAGCTGGCTCCCCATCCAATCCTGAGTCGAACCGCTGCCCAGAGGAAGGGTAGAAC